AACGAGATCAAACCACTTCTCTATAATGTAAGGAGACCGTGGTTATACTAATGTCCACACCATCTTGGTCTTTGCACCGTTTATTTCGTGATTTTTGTTTCTCCTTCGTCTTGGCCCTACTCGAATTCGAGTCAGCGGAAGTAGATCTTATAATCTACCATTGGATTCAGTAAGTTCCTGTGCTTATGTCACCTTAGTCTTATTTCCCTCTGTTAAGGAATTAATTTTGATAGTGTAGTCTGCTTTGGTGCTCTATGATGGGCTTTAGAAGTTTTGGATGCTCTTTATATAAGGATTGCTAAGCTTAGTGTCTACATTATTAATAATTCTCTCTTTTTTTATGTGCGTATTTCAATTTGTTATTTACTTGAAATTTTCTAACTTTTTCCATTCTTTTTTTTCTTATTTTTGTAGTTTGGCATTTGCAAATGACTCTGGCTTAGCAGTCGTTGATGTCGTTCAGCGTACCTGCCTGCTTTCGCTGGCCACATCGGATCTCTATGGTGAGCCGTATATTTCTTTATTCCATTTATCGTTTACCTTTTAGTAATGCGAAACGCGAATTTATTTAATGCGTAACTGGAATTGTGAGTTGTATTCATCCTATGGTGATATGTAGTTGAATTTTTTCAACATAATGTGAGTAGACATGACGTTTTTGCTGAACTTTGCAGCCTTGCTTTCCCAAAAGGTATTATCATCCAGAATGGACTGCGGTTTATAGCTCGTCCAGGTAATATCAACAACCCAAATCTAGACACGTTATTCATTAAGCCACCTTGCCATGAGCGTCCTTCGGTCATATGTCAGATATGAATTTCAAAATAGACCATGAATCTTCCAATATCACATTTTTTGGTGGGGTTATTAATCATGCAAAGTTTTATCTACTATACCAGTCGACTAAATTACTTATTTTTCGTTTATAAGTAGACTTTTGAGACTACCAGGAAACTTACTTACTAACAAAAAGTATATAATCTGGCCTATTGTTATAGTGAATATAACTTTGCTTCATCGACATTCCCCCCATATAATGGGCTATCGGAGGGTATCTGACCTTCCTTAAAATTTACATTTGCCATGTGACAAGGAGGCGCTCTTGTCAATGCTGCGTAGTGATTAACGTGTTGAGATTACACGCTACACTGTGATGGTTCGAGTCTCCCTGGGGAGGTTGATGAGACCTAAGCGAGATCGAAGCCTAATTTTTGGGAAAGCAAGGCTTCTAAATTCAATGGAAACGTCATTTCTACTCATACGATTGTGTGAAAATTCAGCTACCAGTCCCCTTATCAACTTACCAAATAGAATAGAGTCATTTCATATTAATGATCTCGAAAACCTACTTATAAACACAAAAATCTGAATTTTGGTAGTCTAAACGATATTATAATAAATTGATTATCGCCGAAGGGACTTTAAAGTTTTTTCACCTGATATTCTGATTTAATCTTAAAAAATAATTTTAGATTT